GGGACTGCCCTGGGTGTTAGGAATCTGCTGCCCAAATTCTGTCTGGAGAAAGCTGCCTTTGCAGCTGTCAGGAGGTGATAAGGGCTTCTTCTGAACCAGGTAATATGTGTATCCCCAGTTGGCCAGGTGGCAGTATTTCCAAGTATCTTTCAGCTTGGGGTATATGAGACAAACCAGAAAACTGAGCACAAGTTGTAGGAAGAAATGGTACAAAAAAAGGTACAAAAATGGTACAAAAGCAACATGAAATGAAAAAAACCCATAACCCAGCAAGATCCAACTTATGTTTGTTTTTGGGTTTTTTTTTGTAGCTGTTACTCTTTGGTGTACAGACAATTGCTGGGTATATAAGCATAAATAATGTTTTATCAGAAATTCATATTATAATTGCATGATAACCTATAAGTTATTGGACCATTACCTATATGTTGCCATTAAAATACATGGTTAGCTAATGATTATATTTCATTGCATAGCATATTAGTAGCCCAAGTACCTACCATAACTAAGTGGTCTGGACAAAAGTTTAATGAGTAACACTGTAAAGACACCACCCACTGGGGTAAGTTATTTAAAGGATAAAGACTTACTCATTGGTAATTTATAAAGCAAATTGAAAAAATGAATTTTTAAAAATTGGAATAAAGAGTTTAAATTAATGGCTTTACCAGTATTGCTTCTACAGAAATAACCCATGCAGAAATACGGGACATAGAATCATAGATTGGGCTTTCAAGGCTTCTTTTTTGGTAGGTAGATGAACACTGAATTCAGCTACATTTCACATATTTCTTGGGCCTTATACATTTCACTGTATACATATGACTTGTTTAATTTGAGAATTAAAGAAATTATGTAAGTCATGTTCAGAGCTGACTTCGATAACAGAAATTGAGGAGCCTGTTTTTAGACAGTCAGAGATAAAAAATGCTTTCCAACAAAAAGGTAGTTAGCTAGTTAGTATGCAAGGGAAAACACAATCAAAATAAATACAAGAATACAGTATACTGTATATCTGAACAGTGCTCAGACATCATGCTCTTTGAATGAATTATTTGTATTTGCTCCCCTTTCTGCTAGCATCATAGTCTTAAAAAAAATGACAGCAGTCATAAAACAAAGATTGAAGATGAAGCCTGGAGATCTATAACTCAGAAAGCAGAAGCAAGATGCATTGCTATCTGCCAGATGACAAGCAGATGAGCATCCTTCCACTAGAAAGGATGTAATGTCACTTAAAAGATCAGTGCTGACTGTGGATTCTGGGCAGTTGCAATGGATTGTTTGCTTGCTTGGATGCTGCTTCTCATCAGGAGAGGATTTTATGGTAATTGGATCAGACTTAATGTCTCAGATATTCATATAACCATAAAATGGTTTGGGTTAGACCTTAAAGATTGTCTAAACCTCTTGCCATGGGCAGGGACACCTTCCACTAGACTGGGTTGCTCAAAGCTTCATCCATCCTTGGCCTTGAACACTTCCAGGGGGGGGGCAGGCACAACTTCTCTGGGAAACCTGATCCAATGCCTCACAATAAGGAATAGTGCCTCACTACCCTCACAGTAAGGAATAGTGCCTCACTACCCTCACAGTAAAGAATTCCTTCCTGATATCTAATCTTAACCAACCTTCCTTCAGTTTAAAGCTATTTTTTCCTGCCCTATCGCCACATGCCCTTCCCTGTAAAAAATCCCTCTCCAATTCTCTTGTGTTGTCACTTTCTGTTCTGTACAATAACATTATAGCCTGGTTTTGATGGTGATAAGACCCCTCTAAAGAGGCAGAGTCCTTTTGCTCACTCTCCTCATTTTCTTCAGTCGGGAATTACCTTTTTTGTGCCACAGCAGGTTCTGGACTGTAATACAGTGCTGCTAAAAATTTGCACTCCTTTTCAACTGCATGACAGAGACAAGCATTGCAGAGCCCTGCTTCCAATGGAGAGAGGAACTTGGGGTCAGGGCTTTTGCTCTAAGGAGCAGGAAGTGAGCGGGGCAAGGTATGGGGAAGGTTGTGCATACACCCTGCACACAACCTGACCCATGACACAGAGCACAGGTGGCTGCTGCCATCCTGGCCCCAGGGGACAGTCTCCTCCATTGGCTGTCCTCATCCCACTGCCCTCCTGTCAGGGAAATGGGATAGCTTGGCTCACAGATCCTCTCAGAGGATAAACTTCATGTTCTTCAAAAGATGTCAGGAGACACTGTATCAGGAGATGTATCAGGAGATACTTCTGTTTTCTGTGCTTCTACCGATAAAATAAACACTGTAATTGAAATCTGCATTTAATAAAAGTTGTTATGCATGGGGACTTCAGCAGCATACTTTGTTTGAACTCTAGTCTTCATAATCAGTTTTTTTCTTGCTAATCTCTAATCTCTGTTACGTTCTACTAACAGCATGGGAACTGATGGTTACCCAAGAAATACCTTTTATATTCAGTTTTGTGGTTAAAATGGCATTTGGAATTTGGGACTCTTAGCATCACCAAATCATCTGGATTTTCTCTGTGTGGTTTAATATTGTCCTGAAAATAATGAAACTTAATCTGTACAACGGAGCAATTTGAGATATAGTGAGCAGCCAAAGAGGTCCTAACAGAAGAACAAACTATCATTTATCAGTGGCTCAGGGATGCTGCCTCTGCATGGGTAGCTAGTCCACAGCACAGGTAGAAGTTAATTTGCCTTTGGTGTCCCTTGGAATAAAAAAGCAGGGAGGGAGACAATTGCTGCAGAGCAGCAGAAGCATTGCAGTGTGCAAGTTGCACAGCGACGTTAAACCATTGAACTCTAGACCTGTTAATTTCTGATTTAAGGATATCATATGGGGAGTGTGCTGGCAATCTGGTTTGATGTTTGTGTTGCAGGAGCTACTTCCTAAGGCTTAGACAGAGATACCAACTGTGTTGTGTGTTATTTTATCAGCTCAACTCACAGTTTTTTAGAGGAAAAATAATAGGATTTTTCACTACCTTAAACTTATAGTAAGCAATTAATCTAGTTCTCTGGAGGAGGTCATAGAGAAACTAATGAGACACTGACTGAAGTTTATATTTCTTTTACTGATTGGTCTCTAGTGGAAAACCCCAGAAGGTAAGATCACTGAGCAAACTGTGTAGAAAATTTCCAGTAAAGCTCCTGTTGATTCTGCTGGTCTTGTGAGAGTCAATTGACGAGCAGAATTGGTCACTTTTCTCATATTATTTCCTCTCATCTACTCCTCCTTAATAAGCATTTCAAAGATTTGGATAAAAAAAATTAGCATATTGAAAGTGCAAGTTAGACTACAGTGTTGATCCATACATTCAGGCAAGTTCTGATGCCTTAAAATATACCAACCAGTGGAATTCCATAAAAAAGATTATATTGAAATTTCTGTAATTCAAACCACCTTATTGTAATGCTACTTTGTGTCAAGTGTTCCTTCCCTCTGACCTCATTAGGCGTGCCTTGTCATTAGATACACTGTTACTAAAGAGTTTTAACTTAAAAGCTGCTTTGATTAATGCTTGGTTGGACTGAGGATTTATTGTGTAGGATTAACTAGATTTAAAAATGGCAAAATGCCTTAGTAACTTTAATGCCAGACTTTAATGAGAAGCAGAAATAAACTCCAAGGACCCTTACGATTTTTAATGTGGACTAAACTCATGTGCTTGTTACCTTAATGTCCTGTCCTATTTTATATACAAGTACTCCAATAATTCCTAGAGAACAGTAGCCTAGAAAGTGTATTACAAATGTGTAACCTGAAGTATGTACATATTTCTAATGAATCACAAATTTTGATAATTTTATAATCAGATTTATTCAGTATTATTATCAAATAGAGGAAAACCCTTTGCACTGGTTTGGGCCTTTTAAATTAAGAAACAATATGGAAATAAGACAAAACCAGACTGGCAAACATTTTTCCCAATAAATAATGTACTGACAATGTAGATGAAAAATGCATTTTCACATTTTTATGTAATCTGCTAATCGAATTTCTTTTTACTGTCTTCTTAAGTTCATTAAGTGCTCCTGAAAGTTTATAAAGTTGGCGCTTCTAGAGTTTAATAACCTTATTTTTTTACCGTTGATCACATATTTTAGTATATGATACTGCCAAGAAAATCCAGACCATTCTCACATCCGACAACATTTGGTCGTCTCCTTAAATCCTACTAGACTTGATAGGATTTAAGCATATACTTAAAAGGTAATGCACTGCTCAATGAGGGCCTTTGTATCTGACATTTTTTCTGTCCATGCTATCTTCGCTGAGATAACCAAAGGGCACTGATTTATTATTAGACCTAAACAGGAAAAACTCTCATTCAAAAAGCTTGTAAACTTTTTTTTCTGAATTGATGGTGAGTTCCCAATTTTGTTTATTTTTCAGTGAACTTTCAATAGTAGAAGCATGTATTTAAATTTTTGTTTCGGCACAGTTATATGCTGTGAGAATTAGGCACAACGTACTTATAAGCAGTATCAACAGTTCTGGTACTGCAGTTAGGATGGTATCCAACCGAGTTCTTGGGCTGTAATGCCAAATTTCTCATTGAAATCACACATGTGTTGGACATGACTTAAATAGGATTACTCACTCAAGCAAATTTACACAAGGGTCTAAGGCGTATATCCAGCTTCCAGAGGGTAAGGAGCCTGCATTCTCATTTGGCTCTGGGCCTTGGGCACTTGCATAACGTTGCTTGTGTAACTTACCCTGCCAAAAATGAAACCTGCATCAACATGGTTACTCATACCAGAAAAATTGTGCCTGTGGACAAGTGATGACAGTCAGGGATCCTGCTTCCTTTTGTAATACACTGAAAACTTCTGTTTTCACTGATGATTGAAGCTCTTTAGCCAGCATTACCATTGCAGTCCCTATTGATAATTTCTGTACCACTGAGTTGTTTTTGTTGGGTTTTTTTTGTCACTTCTGGATTCTTTACTTGACTCATTACTATCATTTGTTTTTCCTTTTTTTTTTTTTTTTTTTTTTAGGGAGAAGACCAGCAAAAACGAAGGACAAAAAAAAGAAGAAAAAGAATTTGATGGAAAGGGCTCAGAAGCAGCACAGCATCTTTTTAGCAACAGATAAAACAAGCCAGTAAAGACTTGATTTTCCTTAATGTATTTTTTTGCAAAGTGCACAAAAGCTGCTATATGCTCCTGCCCATGGATGCACTACAATTCAGCTGCTTTGACAGTATTGGTGGCAAATAACTTGTGAAAATAAAGCCCACAAGCTTGTTTGTTTTATTTATATATTTTTTATTTTATTTTTTCCTTTCATTTTTGACCTGAAGACTTCAAGGTCAGGAGTGCACTGAGCTGGATCTGTGGAAGTGGTCCTGAAGTGCATCAGTGATATTGTTCTGAGTGCCTGGTCAACCTGTTGTCAAGGAAAGAAACCTACACAGCACCAGTAGGTGGACTTGTGCATTTTTAAATAAATAGGGGGAAAAGGAAGTCTTGGAGGTGTAGGTACAATTGGATTTATGGCCTTTGTTTCCTATATTTGTACATTTCAAGAGTAAATGGATATGACTTACCTACTTAGTGTTAATGTACATTGTTCTCACCCCTGCTACGTCGACACAGTTGTGTAATAAAACTGCTTTAAGACAACATGCTGCAGGATTCACTGCTCAGACCCACCCAAGCACAACAGACTCTGTGTGTACATATTACTCTGTCTACATATAAATGAGCATATTTACTGTACATCTATGCATTTTTATGTATAATATTTTATACATGTTTAAAGGTATGTCCTGTTGGTTCTAGTAATGTACTTTAAATAATCCAGTAAATGTTTACTTTTTGCTATGTTTTAACTATCTTCTCATGTTCCTCAATAGTTACAAACTGGATTTCTTTTTCTCATCTGCAAAGCACGCTCATTTGCAGAACTACCTTGCACTGACCCTCACAATGGAGTGTCAGCTCTGAAGTATACTTACCAGACTAGGAATCCACAAATTCTTTCTGCTATTCAGTACTTCTGTCTCAGCTCCCATGTATTTTGTCTCAGAAAAAGAAGATTAATGTTTTTTAAGATGAGGCATGATGATGGTAGAAGTTTTGAGTGTCAGGAGAGAATTTACTTGTAAAGTTCTTGGTATCTAAGACTCTATGTGTAGTTTGGGGTTTTATGTTGGTTTTTTTTTTCCCATTGTAATGCAGTGTTTCATTTCAGTTAGTCCTGATGCAGTCAGATAAGAAAACAAATAATTTTTCTCCCTGAATGAGGGAGAAACAAAATAAAGGTCATGTAAGGTCAATCATTCAAAAGTATAGAAAACACCAATTCCCCAGTATTGCTGATTATTTGTAGATGCTTAACAAATTTATTCTGCAGCTGTTGTTTGCTTTGGGATATTTTTTTGGGAGGAGAAGTAGAGACAATTTTCTGTGTAGGACATTAAAATGGCACAGGATATGTGATTTGGTAATCTAGCATTATTGAGCTAGCATTCAAGGTGATTTTTGGATACCTGACAGGGAAAGCCTACACTAAAATGCCTGTCACTTAAGAGAAATTATTTCTCTTTTAGACCTAAAACTTGCATACTACCTACACAAAAATAAATGAAGCAGCAAAACAGACCCCAGACCTCCACAAACCCCTTTTTGACATACACTTTAGAAAAACCCCACAAATTCCAGTTTTAGTTTTATGGGCTGTATGCTTTTCAAATAAATGAGGGAAATAAAGCATCTGTAAGCACAAATATATCTGCATTTAGCTATGACAAGTGTTACTACGAAAATGTACATATGTTAGACACATATGAATGTTCCATCAAACTGCTTGTGGACTTCAACTCAGCCGTGAGGTTTTCACTGTATGTTCATATTTACCTAGAACATAGTAATTTTACAGACAGTATGATTGCTCTAATCCTGGGATGCTATTTTGGACATAAAATGCTCACTTCAAAAAAAAACCAAAACAAACAATGAGAACTGTAGCTGTCTGTTTGCTTATTGGTTATCAAATTTGGCTGTAAGTTCATTTAATGCCCTCATACAAGCCTTTCAGTAGTGGTTGCAAATATTGTATTAGGTGTGTCATGGAAAGAATGCTACAAAATACAATAAAATGTGTCACAAGCTCCTGAGCAAAATATTTTTGGTCCTTTTTAATTCAAATAGCATATTCTTTTGGAATTTCATACATGTAGAAAAATTGCAGAAGGTGGGGAGATGCAGTAGATTTTCTTCCACTGGAGTAAAAAATGCGAGGGTTTTCCATACAGCTGTTTTGTTTGAAAAGACCCTGAGCATTAGATATATATTGATTTCTCCTGTCCCAGTCACCTTCACACCAAGAGTTTTCTTGGGAGTGTAGAATGAAAAAAAATTACGCCTAAGTAGCCCTCTGTAGTTTCTCCTTTGTCCTGGACATCCTGCCTTTGCATGGTGGACCCTGTCAGTGTGTTCATAGCACTGGGATTTTGTTCTCCAACTTTGGAGGTTGGAAAGGACTGTTCCTTGGACATTAGGAAAAAGCTTTGCACTGAGAAGCTCTTTGGTCACAGGCTCCTCAGGGAAATGGTCATGGCACCAAGCCTGTCAGGCTTCAAGGAGTGTCTGGACAGTGCTCTTGGTAATATGGTTTAATTTCAGGTATTCCTATGAGGAGCAGGGATTGGACTCAGTGATCCATACGGGTCTTTTCCATCTTGAGATATTCTATGATTTGATGAGTCTATGACCTTGAGAGATCAGCTAGTCAAAATATTTGCTTGAAACAGGGCTACTTCAAAGTTATCTTCAGATACTGTTTCTTGATAAAGTGAAGAAGATCAGGTTTCCTAACCTGGATAATCTGTGCCCATTGTGGCTCTTATTTCCTTTAAATTTGTTCAGAAGTGGACTTACAAAGGTCGTAGTTTTTTTCTGATAAGCAACTGACCAGGTACAAATGCCACATTTTCCCTCCTTTCATAGCTGTTACTGCTTTTTGAATCTGTTTCTCTCAAACAGCAGAAGGTTTCAGCACAGTGTAACTTTTGTGTTCACAAGGCTTTTATGCCCCAGTTTAATGCTTCACTATTGGAAATTTATTTTAAACTACAAAAGATTCAAATTAGGAGGACAAAGAACTTTATATGCTGTAGTCATTGGTTTTAAAATGCTGTTATGTTGCTATGATGAGTAGAAAGTGCTTTTTCAAAACCATACATTATTTTATATCTTATTCACGTGTCCCAGACAATTGTATAGTGCACTGCACATTCAGGATCTCTCTATTCTTAGTTTGCCTTAGCTTATCCTGGCCTCCTAATATCTGTCTCTAAATGAAAACAAAACAAAACCAAACAAAACAACACCAGGAAAAAAAAGGAAAAAAAAAAAAAAAAAAAAAAAAAAAAAAAAGGAAAAAGAAAAAAAATTTAAAAATACCCCAGGTGCATTTTTAAAGCAATTATTTTGTGGCTGACTGGTCTTCATTGCATCTCAGCTACTCTTGTTAGTAAGCAATTATTGTTGTATGTGTCTTTATTTGTTCTGGGGGGAAAAACCAATGTTGCATTCCACATTATGGTAATGCAATCCTTCCATATTACAAATGTTGCTATAAGGAAATTGTTCTCTTACACCTGTATGCTCAATATAAAGATGTCAGCAAAAGAATAGTGAATAGCTATAGAGCTTACATGATGTGTCTTCATTTATCAGTATGAATTACAGAAAACTGCAGAGCGGAAAAAAAAAAGTAGAATTTCATCCATGTTAACTAAAAACAAATCAAAGATCAATTAAGTGCCATGTTAACTTTTTTAAACAAAAATGTTGCTAAAATCCTGATTGAAACCTCATAAAATGAGAAGACAGATCTTTTTCAGACTGATTAAAATCAAATTCAGTGCTTCAACTTTTTTATACTGATGAAATGGAATACAGAATTAAAATAACCAGATATTTCTGGCACAAGGGCCATGTTTTTTTAAAGTGGGTGATGTTACTGAAGGCTGGTGCCACTTACCAGAGGGTATGAGAGTTTTGAATTCAAACTCTTTCTTCACCAACAAAATGTATTCGTCTTTTGACACCAGTCCACTTTCATGTCCAATGGTGTAAGCCAGCACGAATTCCAGTAAGCTCTAGACTGAAGTTATTTTGGACTGACACCAAGAAGAACAAAATGTACCCTTCTGAAAGTGTAACCCAGAAACCACTGTCAGCTTTTTATTTAGTTCTTTACCGAAAGCTCTGTGCTGAACCTGGCATAGTTTCTTTTATGAGAAGCCTCAGCCTCAGGACTGAGGAAAGGACATTAACTTTAGGAAGTATTAGAGCAGCCTGATCTGCAGAACATCTGGGAGAAAAGCAGCCCAGCATTTGAAGTGCAGTTCCTCTCAGAAGAGAAAAACTTTTAAGAGAAGTGTGACTAGAGAGAGCGTCCGAAGTGAGCCCAGACTTTAGTCCATTGCCAAACTCTTCCAGACTTCAACTGATTTTTTTTTGATGCAAACTAGTTCTGTTTATGTCTAATAAACATATGTCTTCAACCCCAGTGAAGCTGTATACTTACTTAAGGGCCAGTAATATATCTGTGGTTGTGCCAGCTGCAAAAATGCTCCCAGCCTCCTTGTTTTCAAATTGTGTCTGCAGTGACACTTGTGTCACACTTGATTTTAATTGGGCAATACTGATGAAGCTAACTAACAGTTCATAGACCACAAATGAACAAACACTAAAAATGAGGGTGGTTTGTTCTACCCCTGTGACTTTTCAAAATAGAAATTCAGCTCAAGAAAGCAAACATGTCTTGGCTTGCAACTATTTCTTAGCTTCCCTTCAGACTTTAAGGGGGCTTTATGAGAAAGATAAGAGTTTTGGGGATTTAGTTGGGGTTGTTTGGTTTATATTTTTTCTTTTTTTTTTTTGGTCAGAAACTGCAGTGAGACTTTGTTTACTTTCTGTTTCTGAGTGGACTTGGTTGCCATCTACAGAAGCTAAGGGCCACAACTGCAAAGGAGCTCCTGATATTTGCTCTGGAATTGTTTCGGTCTTTTATTTATTTGTCTTGTGGCAGGTACATGCAAAGTCTCAGAGACATGGAGTGCAGCCACAGGATTTCTCTGTCACAGCCTGGTGCTCTCCTTTTGGCCTCATATTCCTTGTTATGCTGTAGCCTGGCTTCAGCAGGAACAGTGAACAGTTTTTCTACCATAAATATCTTCTTGTCTGCATATTGTCTTGGCTAGGGCATGTGATTTCTAACTCTAAGGCTTATCCTAGTAATTTATTTTGTGGTCAGATATTTTCTCTCTAGAGAGAGTTAAAGAGAAATTCAAGGACTAAAGGTCTATAAACAGATGATGAGAGGCGTGTATGTAACCTCTCACAGCTATAATCTAATACATGAATAGGTAAATGTATGGTAAATATAACAACCATCCCTGATCCAGTGATTGCAGATGCTGAGGGAGTATGAGATGAATGGACAGCAGATAATGGCTCAGGTATTACACAGTATTCCCCATTGCCACTGTTGGAGACAGAATATTAAACTATTGGTTTGACTTGTTAGAGCTTCTCTTTTAAGCTTCTATGGAAAAGTATGTTGTGTTTGCTGCTCGACTAAGATAGTTTAGATAATGAGTTTTCTGCCCTTGTTTTGGGTTCATAATGAATTTATGAATTCAAATCATTTTGATCCCAGTTCAATGGGATTGTTTAAAGCCAAAGTCTTTGATCAGTTCTCTTGGGACTGTTGATGAAGGCAGTCAGTGATCTCAGCAGGGAAGGCAAAAGGTCTTTATCCCCTAAAGGTGTATTTGACTTTGAACTAAAACTGTGACAGGTAATGACAAGG